TTGTATAATTGATGAAATATGTATACCTTCAACAGTGTTTGAACTAAAATGCATAATGAGGTTATTTAGTACAAGTAAAGCTATATTATAGTTATCACATACACTGTAATCATTTCTGACAGTTGCCAGGGGGTGTATGTTACCTTGTCTGACAAGCGATTTTTAAATTCTTTCATAGATAATACTATCAACATCAGCAATGTTCGATGACAAAATTATCCCTTCTTTTGATATGAGCCTATAAGAAAGGTCTGATAAAAAGCTTATGTAAAATATCGTAGACATTATAAGCACTATTTTATCTACTTTTCTTATATAAGCTCCATTAGAGTTAAAATTCACAGTAGACATTCAGCTAAAAAAGTTAATAATTTTTACATTTCTTTTAAAATAAGGATCTCCCAATGGACCAATATGACAAGTTCTAAAATAGTAAACCGATTATATCACAGACTAGGTCTAAATACAGCAAATTCTTCAGATTCCTTGTCAAATACGTGAGTCCTATTTTAGAAATATTACAGAGCGATTATCGACCAGTCCTCAAACCCTCCTTAGAAGTGATCTTGATTGACGAAAAAACAATATTCAATTTTCTCAATGTGCAGATCAGTTGACCTGGACCAAGTGTTACTGAACTCTAATCTGATAGATATTAGTCGATAAATAATTTACAGACTTATTTCAACTGGGGTCTGTCTGTTCTCTTATAATTCCAATTTAGTTCGTTGTAAGAGTTCCTTAAACCTAAGAGCACTTTAACACCGGACGACACGAGCCATTTATTAATTCACATTTTTATACAACAAAAGTTTTATTTCTAGCCTTTTCTGTTTGTGACTTTCGATAGGTTTCATCCTTAAATGATAATAAACAATTTCATCAAGTTTCTTTAATTAGTCAAGAATTTTGCCTTCTAGAGTTTTTACAAGCTCAAAATTGAACGCGTTGCAAGAACAGGGGAAATGTATAATAGTCAATTTTTTCAATTTGTCTGATTTTCAGGCAGGCAGTCAGTCGACAATATTATCCCACATTAATGTGCAATATTCCCCAGCTTTTCAAAAACCAACTCTCTGCGTGTCTTAATGTTGAACATCCAATGACAATCAAGACCGCAATGCCGAAAACACAAATTGTTAAAGTGTAATCAAACTCAAAGTATATGAATATTAAAAAAGAAAGATCTCGGCAAACCATATCTGATAAATGTTTTTAAAAAGGTCAAATGATGACATATACTACAATTCGCTAATTTTCGAGAATTTACTATGTATTCAGTCTTATGAAAGCATTCTGTTCTGGAATGTCCTTGATCAGATAGTTTAAAGAATTTTACTATTACACATTTTTACACTAATAGCAATCTGTTTTAATACAACTTCATCATGATATAATCCCCAAAGATATTGGCCACAATTGGAAATTGTTGACCTGTTTATTTGGATCTCTTGCTATAGAGAATAAATTGCTGTCAACTGTCATTTATCAACGTTGGGAAGGACGCTTATAGAGTCGAATATGTACTAAGTTATTTTAAGTATACTATATATATATATATATATATATATATATATATATATATATATATATATATCTAGAAGAAATGAATCACCGATGCATATCTAGTTTTGAGTTCAGAAGTTTTTTTGCCATTTGTCCATTTTCCGGTTGATGATGATCAAATATGTCATGTTTTTGTAGGTAGCCACAATTAATGAAGTCCCAACGCGTCAATTTATTTGGAGTCTGGAATTTAACACATACCACGTTAAAATGTCACTTGATCTGTACAAAGTTGTTATGCAAACAATCTATAAAGACCACCCTGAATTGTGGATGATCTTTTTGTTAAAAGTAAACTAGAAATTGACAATAATAAATTAGTTCTTGGCATATTCACGCCATGTTTGACAGAACTACCTGATCCAATCCTTTATACCGACAGAAATTTACAGTATACATTATAGAAAACTAAGCAGTACACTTGTCAATAAAAAGATTTTCATAAAATAAAATAACTAGCCGAACTCGTAATGGCTCAAATCTCGAAGGTACCGTAGATTTTAGGTTAGGTTTTGATTTAAAGAATGAAGTCTGCCACCTTGGTATAAGCAAATGAATTTGTAAAGTTGATATTTTTTATGTTCATTTTATTTAGTAGGCAATTTTCTAATAGTCTTACTCTCCATGGAATGCCGTCTGAATATGAAATCAACAACTTACCATTACAATTTCCAGCATAGGCCTAACTTTGTAGTCTTTAATTTTCTAGATATTTTCAAGCTAACTGCTTGTAATTTTTTGTTGTCGATTGTGTTTGATATTTCATTAGAGAGCTTGTACCCAGTATTTTATATTTGCTAATGGTGGAATGATAACAAGACATGATGCCTTATAGCCACTACGATTATTTTAACAAGATGAAATTTTGTCGAACCAACTTCTAATTTTAACGCCATCTGAGTTGTTTTATCGACTCTGGTGTTTTTATGTTTAATAAATACTCATCACAGTGTCAGATTCGTGGAAATTCTTGTCATTTATAAAACTCATTAATCACTGGGGAAGCTACAGTTATCCCTTCAAAAACATCATGTAGTAATGTAATACACTGGACTTCCCGTAGGCAATTTACACGAAAACACAACATGAACTTCAAAATGAATTACACATAATGACATGGCTTCAGATTTCCCTTCCGCGTTGTCTTTCCTTAAAAGCTACAAACTGTACTCATCTGAATTCAATTTGAGCATTTCTTAGATAAGAATTTTGAATCCAAATAGAATTTATGTAAGAAATTTCCAATGTCTTATCCTATGAGTTAACACGAGTGAAATTTGACTTGTGACAAAAGTAAATAACTTTTACTGGAATTTAAAAAAAGAAAAAGTAGGTCAAAATGACTATCAAGATTTAGTCTACTGTTATTAAATCTACAGCTTCTGAGTAATTCTGAAATATATGATTTATTTATTAATGATATCAGGATGTCGACCACAGAACTTTAAAAAATATTTCCTTAAGATATTGAAGTTATTTGCTGAACAATCATTATGAAAATCACACTGGGCCATAGTTTAAAAAGTCTGATATGTAAACATTGTGACTGCATGGTAAATATTTCTGCTAATAACAGGAAAGTTGACGATAGGGAAATGGAAATTATTTCTTGTGTCCATAAGTTTCGATCTAAATAAGAAACTCGGTTTCGGGATTTTCCTTTGATCTTTTCGGTGTATAAACGTAAGGGGGGAGCAAAAGGAGCATAGCTGTGCTATAACTAGGTTTAAAAATAGCACGATTTCCTCTGTAAATGTATAGAGTGACTGAAATATTTTTTTAATGCAATTTCTGTTGGGTGTTAAAAGCATCTAATCGAAATTGTACACCACCTGTTTCGTAATAATCAATCTGTAGTGATTTATTTTTTAGAAAACTAATATTCCCAAAATAATCCATGCCTTATTTTATTCCAACCTCAATTTTACAGTATTCCAACTCATTAATTAAGTTTTTGTAGGAAAACTGCATAAAGCGGTCGTAGTAAACTCAGTTAAGTCAGAGCTTAGCCGACTTGAGTTTCAGCTATATACGTTGGTCACAGTTATCACATTGACTTGCTTACAGGTCTTTTTTCCAGCGACGGAAAATCAAGGGGCGCCCAATTCTTCAAGCGGAAGCCAAAAACACTTTTTTAACACTTGTCATCAAAAGTCCACAATTGGCATAGCAGCGCCACTTTCTTATATTAGATATTCAAAATGTAATAAAATAATATATAATTATAATTTTTCCTTTCCTGTCTTCAAAAGGTGAACATAAGATAACGTCTTTTTTTTCAATTCTTGAAAATTGTATTGGCGGTCTGTGCGACGCAACTAAATAACGTATTTAGGAAGCTACAAATTCATTTTAAGGTGGCAATTACCATACATTCTATTAGATGACTCGTGCCTCGAACTACATTTGTGGGTTATGATATTGTTTATGTCGTAGTATATCCAGGAGTAATAATTGCCTTGTTATTACCATCATGAATGTTATTGTAACTTGCAAATTTAAATTTAGTTTCAAGAATGTTACTAGAAGCAGTATTCAAGAAGGTCATCGTTTTTCGTTACTTTAATGTTCGCACACAAACACGTGAAGGTTATGTGAATTTTCCGTGAATAAATTAACAGAAAACTGCAGAATTTGCTGATTTTCTACATAACCAAAGCTATGGCCAAAGCTGGAAGCTTTTTGTCCGAACAATGACTTTAATTTTTGTACGCTGAGCAGCAGAACTTAAGTTTTGCAGGAGCATTTGCTAAGATAGGCTAAAGCAAAAGTTTGTCAAGTGATCAACATCTTGAAGCAGATGAAGTTGAAATTATTGAAATCGATGAAGACCCTGAACAAACAGATATGCAAACTAGTTATAGGAAGCTATTCGACAGCTGAACGCACCGTGCGCACCTATTCTGCCATGTTACGAGTCAAATCTTGAATACTTCCTAAGCAGCTATGCTATGCTAAAGTGGCACCAGACAGGGTATGTTTACTCTTCTGGACACCTGATACTACTTATTTCATTATGAAATACTTCTTCACTTATGAATTGATGTACTTCCTCATGTGAAAAGTTCAATAACTGCTTCTAATGTTTCCCAATTTGTTTGTTTCGTTTTGCGGTTCGGATTTAAATTACTTGGGGCCTGGTTTTCGAAAGTATCTTACGACTAAGACACGTCTTAAGATGGTCATACGACATATCATAGTCGTAAGATAGGGAAAGTGTCCTAAGTTACGATAAATCATAAATTTCATCGTAATCTTAAGATACCTCTCGACCTGTCTTAAGATGGTCTTATGATGGTCTTATGATTATCATAAGAACTTCGATATCATGTGAATAAAAAAATATGGCTGCTGTTTACATGCACATTTGACAACAAGCTGAAAACGTACGCCGAAACAGAGTATTTCGAGACAGAAATAACCCACTAGACTACATGGATGATGAACAAATAGTATGTAGATATAGACTTTCACGCCCAATGATACTAGATTTATGTAGAATGTTCCAAACAGCCCTAGCAAGGCCAACAGCAAGATCTCGTGCCTTTCCAGTTTCATTCCAAATCATGGTTGCACTCATATTTTATGCCACTGGAAGCTTTCAGATGGTCAATGCTGATGTCCATAACATATCTAGACCAAGTGTATCTAAAATAACACGTGATGTAACTGCATGTTTAAAGAGGGTTTGTAATGACTATATAAAGATGCCAACTGACCAGGCTGGACTTCGCAACATCATGAGAGGTTTTCATGAAAAAACAGACTTTCCAAGTCTAGTCGGTGCCATTGATGGTACACACATACGTATAAAAGCTCCAACAGAGGATGAACATCTTTGTGTAAATAGAAAAAGCTACCATTCTATTAATGTTCAAGCAGTTGGCGATTCAAATATGAAGTTTTCTTTTTAGCACTGTTTGTTACTACATTGCTGTGTCGGCTGAAAAGTAAGGACTTATATATTCTTCTCCACTTCGTCTATCAAAATTTGAATCTCCTGCGATGTTAAATTCGGACTTCTTCTTTTACTCATGATTATGTATAATAAATATAAATGTATTATTTCTATCCTTATATAGTACTTTCTCAAAGTATTTTCACGAGCATTTCGTTAAGCGGTTACATGTACTCGATGTCTCACATCTTAAAAGTATTCACAATTAGATAACAAACACATCATGTAAGATAATAAATAAACACGGAGTTCGAGAATGTAAAAGTATAATAAATATACAAACTAAATTCAAACAAATGATCAAACTACGATTTTAATTCATTTTCATATAAAATTTAATGTTGATAATATATTTTGTAAGTAATAACTATAAATTTTATTTCCTATAATTTTTTTTATAGTAAATGTTATCACTTATGACAGTCATAAGAGCATCTCAGGTAAGACTATCGTAAGACAGCTTTGATTTACATTCTATTACATGTCGTATGATAGTCATAAGATAGTCTTAAAATTTGTCTTAAGATATATCTTATGACGTTTCTTACCATACTTTTGAAAACCAGGCCCCAGGTTTATTTACCCTTCATGGTGCAAAACTGATTAGAAGGACTGGTGCTGATCACATATGAGCGGCAGATTTGCTGGTTACTATACAATGAACTATTTGATGCATGCAAACAAAGCCCTCGAGAATAACCCTGTTACACAAAAACTTTACATCAGTTGCTTTCAACCTGCGACAAATGCGAACATATTGCGTTCCCTAATAGGCGTATTATAATACAATCTATTGGCTCGGTGTGCTTCATTTTTACTGCTTGCTTCACCAAAGGATACCCTGTCCTCGTCTACCTGTGGTTCTGTTACATAAACTGGTGAAACAAATAACACTTACTTAAAAACTGAAGTACAGCGTTGCAACAATTGTAATAAAGGAAGAAGCAACTTCCCCAGCTGCCAGACCTTTATCAATAATGTAATAATAAGTAATTTATAGCACGTTTTTATTTGTTAAAAGATTCGTCCTTCTAGTTCGTTGTTTAAATCTGTTAACTCTCGAAAACTGTGCTAGAAATATTACTTGTGTCTACAACAGGATTTTAAAAAAATGTTGAAAATTGATACACTAGACTATAATTATTGAATATTGATACGTTTAAGCGGTTGAGGGATGGTATTATATTCCCGATGACGGTGTGAGAACCACGTTGAAAAGATGAAAGCGATAAATAAATAAGTCTCCATCCCAACAATTGTCTTATTTGGGTATTGAACAGGTAAAAGATGCTATATGGCTGCTGTGTAGAAGTAAATCAATGTTAAGACAACGCTCGCCATATGATTTTTCGGACATCCCCAATCTGCATTGTAGGCAAAAGGATACGATTTCAAAAGCCCACATGAAATGGGGAGCATATATTGGCGTCACCCATGTCTTTAAGTAGGAAATTTTTTTTATTACCCATGGATGAACCCTATTGAAAATCAAAAAAATATTTTATATGAGTAGTTATTATTGACCTCGTTCTTAAAAACACTTAAATTCAATTTTTAGCTCGTCATTACTTAAAGACTCGATTCTTGCTGGATTTTGACAAAACTTGTAACCTTGTCTGTCAAGCTATCTTTTAAAAAATATAGAGCACAAAGTTGCATGTCAAACCATTTAAAAGCACGGTAAATAGCCGTTACACCAGATATAATTGTAATTCTAAAAGTGTAGTTCTATATAGATAAATTTGATTAAAGATAATAAGGTAATTTTCAAGTAGGAGGTCAGTGAGTAATCTCTCGAGGGAAATCAGTCGTCTATGATGGGATATAGATAGAGAAGATCTCTCTAACTGTCCAGTAATAAGCAGTTGAGTTCAGACAGGAGACCAGACTACTACACCCTCTAGAAGAGATGAAAGAGCATAACCACTATTCAAGATGAATTCATTCTCTTAAATATTTGACATCGGCTAGACTTACAACTTGAGTAATAAGTACTGTGATATCAAATATATTCTAGAGTGTCCGATAATCAAGATGTAATTAAGTTATAATTGAATTTGATAGTCTTCTAGTATTATAACTATACACAAGTCCTTAACATAAGTACCGTTATATCATTGGGCACATTGCCATAACATCATTAAGTTTATCAATTACGAAATATACTCAATAATTCTGTAATATCCTTTCTGGGGTTTCAAAATCAAATGGAGCCATGCGTGTTTTAGCTATAATGGATATATTGCGTACTGTCACATTTTACTTGAAATATCATGAAATGAAAACCTTTGTTCTGCAATAGCAAAACTATGCTATCATACTATCGACTCCAAACTTACTCATCCCAGAAAGGTAAGCGCCAGCCTTAGTCATTACTTTCTTTTCATTTTGTCACAAATATGGTCAATGGTATAAATACGTATAATAAAAAATTATATTCTATATTACAGATTGATGAAGATATTATGAGAGAGAAAAGATCTAAAGACGATGATAATAGTAAATGTTGTAATGGTGTATTAGGTTATGCATCAAACCAAGCCCAGATGCCAGTAACCTGCCCAGATATGAAATGTTGTAATCAAAGTGAAACTGTAGCAGTTGTTCCAATAGAAGACGCTTTTGGGTTTAGATTTCGTTGTTTGGTATGTTTAATTCCGGAAAATATATATAGGTCGATGTTTCTTTCAAGATTATTAAATAATTTCCGATTCTCAAAGTATATACTTGTGCTTATGTTTGGAAATAGATATGATGTTATCGGAAACCATTAAGGAATGTACGAGTCAGTACTAGCTTAGCTTAAGTCTTCAAATTGCCAGTAACCTTAAGCAAGATCCGGTTTTGCTCATCAACAGGAATATCTATTTTCGATTATTCTTGGACTGAACTTACCCTGAAAAGGCATAACTGACTCAGAATTTATCTTTTTTCTATTTCAGCCGAAAACTAGAATTCGTCCAGTATGTTATCAGCCCGGTACTGAAGTTCGTTCTAGTAACCAGGATGCTGATCATATACCACGTGCCTGTTGTGAAGGCGCTAAATTTGAAATAGAACTCAATAAATGGTACGCTGCTATGTCAGTGAAATGTGTATTGAGGTAGCGATTATGACCTCTAGTTCTTAGTTTCAATTATCAGGACCAAGGCCAGATTTCCCTTCTGAATACGGAATTGATTAGTCGTTCTAGCATACAGTGTTTTATGAGGTGAACGTCGATCTTGAAACTTTGTGAGTTGTGTAATAACTACTACAGTAAAGTTGGACATGGACATAGAAATCTGGTATTGTGCCTTCAACATGTATCTGAAATAGGATTAATGGTGATAAGAATGTGGTATTGGATGTAATGACAGACTGAAGGAAATCACTGGAACGGACTTTTGATTTAATTATTATACATTTTGTACATATCAAAATTATATTTTCCTACACACATTTTCACAAACATATCAATTCTAAACTAAGCTATAATTTTAACTATTCACCATATTTTTCAACAGTATCATTATTAATATCTTTATAGTCTATAAATGATTTGAAAAAAAAAATGCATTTTATTGAAGGTTATATAAGATTAGTCAAATTCCATGTGAGTTTTAATATGTGATATGTTTCACGTTTGATTTTGGATTCATTACGGCTAATCCGTGCTTACTAAAACACGAACCGACCAGAAAAGTGTCGTTTTCGTGTAGATAGTTGCCACTTGCACACACGAAAGTAAGAATTTATATAGCAATGTTAGAGTCTACTCTTCGGTTAATCTATTGTATTTAGCATAATCATAATGCGTTTCGGTTGTGAATAATTTTGTACATAGCTTGTATAGTATTAGATTCTTTCTTGCTAAATCACAATTTTATATACAATTGTAAATATGACATGCACTATACTAATAAAGATTAACAAGTTCCCATTGACATTAAAGCCACTAAATACTAAACGGATGACAATTTGCCTTTGAGTATAATAGGTCTATTATATATACTCCACTGATTGCATTAGATATCCATCTGTCTTGGAATATATCAAGGCTTTCAATCATACACAATCTTGAAACCGGAGTTCATTTTAATAATGCGATGGGTTTCCTATAGTTGAGAAAATATAATGAATCATTAAAGGTCTGAGAACATCTCAATAAGTTGAGGTCAAAAGGTTTAAACGATATGTCCGGGAAATGTATTACTAGAAATTCAACAAGGCAACAATATGCTTTTAATAACATGTTCGTTCAAACAGTTTTGTAAATCGATGTCTTTAATATAATTTACTTTTTTAAAGAGATAAAAACATGAAATTGATATATTTAAGCAGTAAGGGTTTATCTTAACATTGATTGTACAAATAGTAGAATATTGAATATCGACAAATTACACTTATAACATGGAGGATATAGATTTCTTTACTTTGATGTCATTCAAAATATAGAAATGGTGTAGAACATGGTTTCTATTTTAGTCTATTGACATGGGCCTTGAGACTTAAGAGAAAGTCTATCATCAGTAAACATAGTTTTCAACCCAACTAGAAATTGATAAGATTCATGTATTTCTTTTTCTTGCTTCTTCTGAATTCAACTACATTTCACCAATCTAGCTGCAGATTATCTTTATCTCAAGATGTTCTTTAACAATGATAATTAATGCTGCATGAAAAGTCTTATATTTATTAACTGTCATTACTTTCAAACTAAGAATTTTAAATGTTTTTTTGGCTGGCTGTCGAAGGTAATTCAAATAAGGTGACGAAAATTGGGTAATAAAGTTCCAATTTACATTTTAGTATGTCTAGTTCGAAAACTTGAATAGGAATGAGAAACCTTCTGAAGTCGAAATCTTGTATGTTTCGACTTGATTTGATGGTCGAACAGTAGGCAATCAACACAGCCCCATGTACGTTTAGTACCGGCAGTCTCGTGGATAATATCGCACCGCTGCTAAAGGAACATGCACAGCCCTATGGCGTTTCTATAAGTCATTACGTGGTGGTGGTGGTGGAGGAGGGGGGGGGGCTTGGCTGGGGTACCATGCTTAAAAGAATCGAATTCCTGCAGCCCGGGGGATCCAC